CAAGATATAATTTATGTGGAGTCAAAAATTTAAATGTGGTATTGCATGAAATTAGACCCAGAATTTTACCATCTCAGCTACTAAATCTTTACTACTTTCCTATACAAAACAACATTTATTATATTTTAGTGATGTTAAGTGACTCCACCCCTCTTTACGTGGGCCCGCCTACAGCAGAAGTCAATATCAAAACCATGAAATTTTGATAAGGTTTCATATATACTTATAATAATCAATAGTCATAGACAAATTAAATAATTCCAAAGTTGTCTAGATTTGGAATATTGAGACTCTAGTTGAATAGCATAAATAAAGATACATATTTATCAGATTCATCTTACCGAGTGTGAGAAGAATCATATCACTACAAGTAGACATAAGTGTTCTGAACGTTCAATCAAGTAAGAAACATCAACGCAATTGTATCTGTTATTCTACAGGACCAAAACACCAGTCCATGAATCTTTGAAAAAACAGAGAGAAACATAATAGATAAAAGACTATCATCATGAACAAAAGAGGTCAGTTATTTTGAAAAAAAAAAGAAATCTCTTTTTGTTTGTGGAATTGTAGCCGTAACTACATAAAAATATCAAAAGAAGAAAGATAGAGTCAACTTACTTATGGGAGTTGAAAGAGAGTTACAGAGGATTAGAGAAACATCAACAGAGAGAGTCTAACATCTCTGTTGTGCTGCTATGTTATGCTCTGTTTCACGATGAAGAAAGGGTCCTTAGCTTTTCTTTTGGAGACATGAAGGGCAGAGTAAAGTTGCAAGAACACACAAATTATACGAACTACTCTTCTTATTAGAAACTCTCTCAAAACTAAATTAATGTTTTTCTCTTGTTTCTCTTAAAGGATACAACATCTCTGCAATTCCTTATATAGGTCGAAGCTACTTCTTAACCTAATAATAATATGAAAACATTACTAAGCTCGATATGTTTTTATTTTTCCTTAACTTACTAAACTCCCCTTTAATCAGTTAATTTTATCCTTAAATTAATTGGAATTATCCAACATTCTCCCCCTTAATTCCAACTTGAATCTTGGACTTGTTGATCTCTTGAACTCCTGGTATGTACATGACTTCGATGTGATCATCTTCTACACACTCACGGATGAAATGGTACTTCGAGAGTATGTATTTGTTTTTCCCGTGAAACATCGTCTTCACATCAAATTGCTTAAGCTCAATGTCATGACGTGCTACCATCGCTAGCAAAACTCTGATGGAAGTATGTCTGACCAGCAATGAGAATATCTCATTGTAGTCTACTTCCTCTCTCTGACTAAAACATCTTGCAATAACCCGAGCTTTATACTTAACTCCTTATGCCGATGATGCTTCATCTTTAATCTTGAAGACTCACTTGAAACCTATCGATTTTACACCTGTCGGCTTCTTGACGAGCTTCCAAGTCTTGTTTTTGATGATAGATTCGATCTCTGCCATCATCGCATAGATCCATGCTTGTCTTGATACAGATTCGATGTAACTTGCTGGTTCACCATCAGTGGTGACCAAGAGTCTTCCGACTTCAAATTCAGAAAGTAAGATTTAATCATCAAACCGCTTTGGTTTTCTGATGTTACGGCCATATCTCGTTGTTACATGATGGTCTTGGTTTGCCTCGTTGTTCTCAGCTATTTGTTCTTCTTTGTTTGCAGCTTCAAGTTCTTCTTCTTCATCATTTTCTTCATGGTTCTGGTGATCATGATTCTCAACACCATCCCCTTATTGTGTTTCTGTTATCCTAGCTTCTTGTTCTTGTGTAGGTTGTGTAGGACAGACAGATGCGAAGTGCCTCATCTTGTCACATCTCAAGCACTGTTCTTTGGAATGATCCTCTTTAGTCTTCTCAGAAGCTTCTCCTCCTTCGTTATGAACACTGAATCTTTTGTGACCTTTACCCATGCTACCATAACCTCTTCCTCGGTAGTCATTGTGTTCTTCACTGTTATCTTTGTCATTCCTTTTAAACATCAATTTAGTTTGATCTTCTTCTTCGGCTTCTTTGATGCGTTCTTTGAAAGCTTTTAATCTCCCAACAATATATTTTAAGAACTTCTTCACTAGTTTCGGTTCTTCCATAACCTCTCTTAACGCAGCCAATCTTGATGCAACGCCAGATAGTTTCCCAGCGTATTCATCCAATGTGTCTGTGTCGTTTATATTTAGCCTACAAAACTCTGCCATCAACGTTTGAAGTTTTGCCTCCCTTACACAATCAGCTTCAAGGAATAAATAGATTTCTTTTGACCAAAAAAAAAAGGAATTAATAGATTTCCTATTTTTGGTCGGTTTATTTTGTAATTACTAATGAAAGTGAAATCATGCTTGTTAATATTTTGCATTTAAGTATAAGAAGTTAAATAAAATTTCACACAAAATTGTAAAAAAAACGCAAAAGGTTATTTACAATAATTTTAAGTTTAATATAATTAATCATTTTACAATATTAAAAGGAGAATATCCTCAATTCTTAAGCTATACACGTTGTCATAAAAACTCAGGCCAATCAGAAACTTTAATTAGCCATGTCAGACCATGATTAGTCGACACACAATTTTCGCCGGCCAATTATTGGGATGATAATATTGAGAAGTGCCCCATAAGAGCCCAACTCTCATTCTAAACTTCAATTTCGTCACAATCGTCTCGGAATCTTCCTAATCACCATCGTCAGTTTGCAATATCTGCACATCGAGTTACACTGTAGTTATAAAAATTTAGGCCAATCAGAAAAGCTCTAATTAGCCACGTCAGACCATGTTTTGTCGACACACAAATTTTGCTGGCCAATTATTGGAATGAATATATTGAGAAGTTGCCCATAAGAGCCCAAACTCTCTCTTTTTCTTTTGGACAATCCCAACTCTCGTTCTAAACTTAATTTCCGTCACAATCGTCTCCGAAGCTTCCAATTCACCATTGTCGGTTTGCAATCTCTGCACATCGCGTTACACTGTAGTTATCACGAAAATCTCTTCACTTTGTAAGCTCACTTACTCTTTCTACCCATGAGCAAAAGAGATTATTTTTATAAAATTCTTATGCTAAAATCTTTTTTCCATAGCCACCAGGCTTCGTTTCTCCTCCACGTACTGCTGCATTAATTATTTAATATAATGTTCCAAAACATTAAAACTTACTTCTTTCTCTGTTTGAAATAGAACATTGTGGTAAATGGAGCTCTAGGCTATTAGCGATCGCACTTCTCACTGATGGGGAGAGCTCGACCATAACCGGAACTTATGTTGGTCAATACGTAATGTAATGCATGATGGGTTTCTTGATCGAATACTCGATTTTAGCTATAATCTCGAGCCTAATAGTTGTCATCATTAGTGGTTCATCTGGAGCCGGAAAGTTAAATTATTATTGCTTCGGTAACAAGCATTCCTATCTCTAACAATCTCCAAGGTTGCTACTTTCAATTTTTCCTTTGATTTACAGGTAAGACGCTCAATATAGCTGAGGCTAGAAATGTCTTGGATGTCATCAAGTCATATGGATTGGTTCCAAGCTCTGTGAGTTAATAAACTTTGCATATGATTTCTCTACTGAAGAAATACACTCACACAGACAGGTAAATCCTCAACTTCTCTTTCAAATTATAATATTTGATTTCTCTCCCAGATTACGGGTCTATACATGGAAGTATGGAACAATTTCAAATCATTCTGGGTGCAAAAAAAAATGTATGTTTCGATCTTCTTTCATCTTCCTTCTACAGTAAATACATTGAGAAGGAGATAAAAAACGTGGAAGATCTTCTATTTGCACTGAGAAGGAGATAAAAAGTATCTATGGGTTGTAAATTCTTTTCCGAGTTTCAGTTGGTGCTTGTTCACATAAAATTGTAAAAGAATCTTACGATATAATGAATCGATGCAACACAAAAAGGCATTAATAAGAGAACACTAAAAACGGTAAAAATGTGGAATAATAAGAAAACTAAAAAACAAAAGAAGATCAAATATGAGATTGGATGTATTGTAATATTGTAGAAATGTTAAAAAAAAAGTTACTATAAATAAGATGCATTATGACATCGCAGAAGTAAAACTGATGCCGTTATAAGTTAATGAAAAAAGCATAAGAATTATAAGAAGGGTTTGCACTGGACCAAAGGCTGAGACGACAAACGGGAGACGTGAGAATTTATCTAAACATATTTTTCACTCAATGTCAGTCCTAGATAAAAAGAAAAAAAGTGTAACGGTTAAGATGAACACAATAACATTCATGAAAAGGCATTGTGAAAAGTTAGTATCATACAAAATATACTAAAACTAGAAAAATAGGTGGCATTTGAAGAGGTACGAGAAAAAGACAAATATTTCTTCATTGGACTCATTGAACTTTAGAATATTAGTGAGAAAGAGAAAATAGTAGCTGTAACAAATTCAAAACATGGCCAAGAATTGTTAATATTATGTCACTTTTAGAAGAAAGGGAACTCTTCTTTATAATGTATATATAAAATTATTGGTAGGTACGAAGTCGGAAATACTTTGGCATTACATAATAGATGAGAGTTGTTAAATTGTTTGTGGTTAACGTGGCTAAGATTCATTAATAATTAAATAGCGTCACCAATAGTTATTATAATACCTGACGTTAACGTTGCCAACCAGTTTATCATAACCAAACAANGAACTCTTCTTTATAATGTATATATAAAATTATTGGTAGGTACGAAGTCGGAAATACTTTGGCATTACATAATAGATGAGAGTTGTTAAATTGTTTGTGGTTAACGTGGCTAAGATTCATTAATAATTAAATAGCGTCACCAATAGTTATTATAATACCTGACGTTAACGTTGCCAACCAGTTTATCATAACCAAACAATTGTTGATTAAAATCGTAGTTAATGATTTTTGTATTGACTATTGAGTACTGACTAATCCAGAAATACAGGTGCTCTTCTCTATAAAAGACGAAGGGTTCATCTAGTTTTATTCGTCAAACAACTAAAAGAAAAACATGTCGACTAAAATAAGCTCATCGATCCCTTTAGTGGTCAACAAAAAATACACCGAAATGGTGAAACCCCCAAAACACATACCTTCACACACTCTTTCCCTTTCAACACTTGACAATGATCCTTACAACGAAGTTATTTACAAAGCATGTTACGTTTTCAAAGCCAAGAACGTTGTTGATGATAATAACAAGCCGGAATCTTTGGTTAGGGAGGCTTTGTCTAATCTTCTTGGCTACTACTACCCACTCTCGGGAACTTTGAAGCGGACTGATCGAAAGCTTCAGTTGAACTGTGGCAGCGACGGAGGTGGTGTGGCGTTCACCGTGGCTACTATTGGAAATAGGCCCAAATACAATAAAGCCCAAGACAAAATATAGATCCAGCAAAATCCTTGTGCTCTATACCTTTCCTGCAAGAAAGGTAAAGTAGGTTAAACCCTATTGGAAAAGGAAAATATGAAAGACCTAATGAAATTAGGAATGGGAAGATCGGTTGACTATAAAAAGAAGAGGTGGTATCAGCTATTCGATTATCCGAAACACAAGACCAAAAGGAAGAGAGCTAGAGAGAGATTAGGGTTAGAGGAAACTAGAGGCAAGAGACATTGTTCGAGTCATGTCGCTTCGGGATAGAGTTTCTTTGATCTATCTTATTCTTTGTTGTGTCTTCTTATTAAGCGCTTAGAGCGTTTGTGTAAACCCTTTGATTGATAGTGGATGTTGTGGGAGACGGTTCCCACCCGAGACGTACCGCGCTAGAGGCCGGGAACTCGGTGATCAAATTCTCTGTGTTATAGAATTAAGCAATCTAACGATCGAGCATTCCTAACAAGTGGTATCAGAGCAATCCAGGTTTTGATTGCAAATAAGGAGTCCGAGCATAATCGCAAAGAAGAAAGATAATGGGACCTATCTATTCTTTGAGGAAGCTGCGATCCATCGTCTCCAAGTTTCAGGGTAGAAAGATCAAGGGTAACGTGTCTTTGCTTAGGGAAGTAAAAGGTGTTGATGCAATAACATTCATCTCAAAGGAAGTCGAGCAAACTTCTGTATCGATAGTCTTCTTAACAAGGTTGGAGTTAAGTGGCGTGTTCCATTCTTCGTAATGGCGGTATGAAGTGTTCAAGGCTGATCTATCGAAATAGAGGAGGTTGTTACTACCTATATTTCAAGGGATTTTAGATCAAGGTGGAGATGATGTTAAAGCTTCAAGTTATGGTTCAAAAGGTGGTAGTGTTTCGTGATCATCAGTGTTTTAAGAAACTTCAGAAGAAGTTGATGGAGATGATCAAGGATTCAAGGAAGATAATGTCAAAAGAAGTTGACGGAGATGGTCAAGGATTCAAGGAAGATCATCAAGGAGCTATATTTCAGAAGATATCTTGCAAGGCGTAGGAGGCTGCATGTTCTAGGTGAATTGGTTCTCAAAAGTTATCTCGCAAGGAAATATGCAATGTGTGTCGATAGTCTTTCTAACAAGGGAGTTTAGACGGCGTGTCCTGTTTTTTATAAACAGCGGTACAAGACATGTATATGTTCGCAGTGCTGGAGGAGATGTCAAAGTTTTGTGACGTCAGTATTGAGATGGAGATTAATGGTGTATTAGTCTAAGTCTATCACATTGAGAACATGAGGAAGACTCCAAAAATAGAAGAAGGCAAGATTTAAAATAAGAAGAATGAACGCATAAGTTAAAGCTGCGTGGAGAGTAGGAGACAAGTATGGTTATTATTTTTTGGGCATCACAATAAGAGAATTGAAAATTTCTCTAAGAAGGACAAGGAGATAAACTCACGTGAGGAAGCATATTCATAGATCAGAAGAAGTCTGATGGTAAGTCCAAAGGCTGTTGTGATGCAGTGACCAAAGCGTTGGGGTGTTAGCAATACAAACAAGTATTGCGGGGAATGGTGTTTCAGCTAGAAGAGATATCATGGGGTCTAGAAGTGATATCAAGGAGAGCTGTTACAAAGAGAAGTGTTAAGAACGTCACCGGCAGTTGGCGTGAGACAAGTTAAAAGGAAACTAGCCAAGAGGTTAGAAAGGATCAGGTTAAACAAGAAGTTTTGGACTGGGGTTTGTGTCGAAAGTCTGTCTAGCAGGTTAGCTTGATGGCGTGTTCTGTTCGGGATAACGGCGGTACAAAGAGGAGTCCACGACTATGTTGTTGCACAAGGGTTTTTGAATCAGGGATTGCTTTCAAGTTTAAAGCATGTATTGTTCAGGTCTATTGCAAATGGTTCAAGGGAAGTTTGGTTCGAAGATCAGTGCACATGATAAGAATCAAAAAGATATCAAAGGGAATCAAGTTGCAAGGGTACAAAGGTTTTATTTAATCTCTATAACAGATTCATTGGCTTTAAGGACAGTCATGAAGAGGTTCAGTGATTAAGCGTTTGATAAAGAAAAATCAAACAAGGTTTCTCAAAACAAAAAAAACTCAGAAGTATGGTGAGTGAGAAGGTTGGTTACCTGCGACAATTATGAAGCTATGGTGAAGAGATATTGGCTTCAGATGGAGTAGCTGCAGGAATCAAAAGAAACCAAGATAGAGTTTCATAAGAGTCTCAAAGATTGGAAGAGACAGGACATAAGAAGATGCAGGTAGGTTTACCTGGATCATCAGTGTAGCAGCATAGCAGAGAATTGAGTCGTTGCAGACGCTGCAGGAAGATGAAACAATAAAGTTTCAGAGAAAGAAAAAAAAAAGGAACTAATTTATTCATGTTTCATGTAATGAGAAGGAAATCTGTTTCAAGTCAGAGAAGTTAAAAGGCTAAGGGTTTATTGTCTTCAGGTGGAGTTCACAGGAAAAGCTGCAAAGACAAAGGGTTTCCTAGGAGATGCTGTGTGAGAAGAAACATGAAATTTAAGGATATAATTTTAGCTTGTTTTTTTTCATCAATCTCTAGATACAGCAGGGATGAGATCACTCAGGTTAAAGAGCGTTACCTAGAGCAGAGGAAGAGACGCAGAGGATCGTCGAAGCAGCTGTTAAAGAATTTCGAAAGAGAGAGTTCGAGATTTAAATGAGATTCACATAAGGCTAGCATCAAGGATTAATGCAGAGGTTCAGGGAATTTGTAATCCCAAAAGATACAAGCTACAGTCATCAGGATAAGGAGATTGACTAAAAGAAAAAAGGTTACTTGAGATTACAGTGGGTAAAGGCGTCAAAACTTGATGCCGGAGGATGCAAAGACTTGAGTTGAAAGTTGCATCAGGTTATGTTCACTATCAAATGTTGCGCGGAAACTACCGATTCGAGATGAATCAGTCACTCTAATGATACGACTTGATCAATAGAACCTGTAAGCTAATCGTAATACAGCAAGAACACACAAGAAAGATACACAGGCAACTTGATAACCCAGGGGTATCACTCCGATGTGGAGTACTAGTCCCCTGGAGCCAGACTCAGTCTAGCAAATCCACTAGAACNGAACCTGTAAGCTAATCGTAATACAGCAAGAACACACAAGAAAGATACACAGGCAACTTGATAACCCAGGGGTATCACTCCGATGTGGAGTACTAGTCCCCTGGAGCCAGACTCAGTCTAGCAAATCCACTAGAACAAGGCACCGTTCACACGCCGGAGACGGTGAAGAACAACGCCGGAAAGTTTCTGTTACAGATCTCTCTCTCTCACTTTCTCGATTAAGCTCTAACTTAACAAACTCTAACTCTATCTCCTTTTATATCATAAGGAGTTACAAAGCCTTAACCAGAATTCATTAAGTCAAACCGTAACCAATAACCGGTATGAGTTAATAACCTAACTACCCGATTAAACCAACTTATAAATCTAACATATAAGCTATAAGAGCAAGATTAGATCACTCACCAACAATCTCCTCCTTGAGCTAAACTTGGTCTTGAACAACACCTTCAAGCTTCAACTTCAACTCACTTCTAGTACCCTTGTTCTCATCCGTGGATTCACCATCTAGACTTACACCATCTGGCAAAGCCAAAGCTTCTCAAGCTTTAGTAATTTTGAGCAAACTCAACGCAGCATTGAACTTGCTCACAGGAACCACCTTCGTTAAAATATCAGCCGGGTTCCTGCTGGTATGAATCTTCAGCACTTCTACTACTCCTTCATCAATGATATCCCTGATGAAATCATACCTTACTCTCATGTGTTTGGTACGTTCATGAAACACAGCATTCCGAGACAAACAGATTGCGCTCTGCGAATCACACCAAACCTTGACAGCTCCATGAGTTATACCAAAGTCTTCCAGCAATCCTTTAAGCCATATAGCTTCCTTCACAGCCTCAGTAAGAGCGAGATACTCAGCTTCAGTCGTTGACAACGCCACTACAGGTTGCAGACATGACCTCCAACTTACCACATTTCCTCCTATGGTAAAAACATACCCTGTTAAAGATTTACTTCCATCTCTATCTCCTGCGAAATCAGAGTCGCTATAACCTTGAATATCAAACTCCTTCTCCTGAGTGTAAACTAGATTTACATCTGACGACCCCTTCATGTACCTGAGAAGCCATTTCACAGCCTCCCAATGGATATCTCCTGGTTTGCTCATAAACCGGCTAACAAGGCCTACAGCATATGCAAGGTCAGGCCTTGAACCTACCATTGCATACATGATGCTACCAACTGCAGAAAGATATGGAACTTGATCTGTATCAATGCACTCCTCCTTCTCTTTTACAGCTGATAACTTGAAATGAGCTCCCATCGGGGTTAACGAACTCTTAGCTTGATCCATTCTAAAATTTGATACCACCTTTTTGATATACTCAGACTGAGATAACCGTAATACTCCATTTTTCCGGTCTCTGTAAATGTCCATACCCAAAATCCTTCGTGCTGGACCAAGGTCTTTCATCTCAAATGTCGACTCTAACTGCTTCTTGAGCTTCTGAATATCATTCATATCCTTAGCAGCCAACAACATATCATCTACATATAATAGAAGATATACCAGACCTCCATTTGTACCCTCAGCCGTATACACACAAGCATCACGAGTACTCCTCCTGTAACCATGAAGTATCATAAACTCATCAAACTTCTTGTTCCATTGACGCGGAGATTGCTTTAGTCCATATAAAGACTTCTTCAGTAAACACACATAATCAGGCTTTGACTTATCCTCATAACCTTCGGGCTGCTCCATGAATATATCCTCATCCAAATCCCCATGAAGAAATGCTGTCTTTACGTCCATTTGTTCCAACTCCAAGTCTAGATTGACAACGAGTGATAGCAGTGTACGAATGGATACATGCTTCACCACTGGAGCAAACACCTCGTGATAATCTATACCCTCTTCTTGAGTAAAACCACGAGCAACCAGACGCGACTTATACCTCTTGGGATCTTCATCAGTGATTCCTGGTTTGATCTTGAACAACCATTTACAACTGATAACCTTTCTGTCTTTAGGTCGCTTAACCAACTCCCAAGTTCCATTCTTAACGAGTGAATTCATCTCATCATCAGACGCAATATCCCATTTCTTCCATTCCTTACACGTCTTTGCTTCAGTGTAGGTCTTTGGTTCTTCTACGCTCATCAACTCAAACATCGTCAAAGCAAATGCTACTTCTGAACAATCGTAATCACTGAACTTCACAGGTGGCACAATGTTTCTCCTTGGCCGATCTCTTGCTAACTGGTAGTTAGTCAATCCTGTACTTGCTTGTCCTGCATCATGTTGAACTGAATCTTCTTCTGATTCACCTTCATCAGCTCTCCCAGTAGCTCCTCCTTGATTTGTACTTTCTTGACTCTGAATTGGTATGTGTACCAGAGGTTTGTCATCTTCTGCCGTTTCTTTAGGATCAATGACTTCTGCTTCAACACTCTTCTGAATGTCCTTGAACATAACCTCTTCGCAGAACCTCACATTTCTGCTCACTACACACTTATCACCATCTAACAGCCAAACCTTGTAACCCTTTGTACCTGGAGGATAACCAATGAGAACTCCCTTTAACGCTCTTGGCTTCAGCTTCCCTTGATCTGTATGAACATATACCACTGAACCAAACTTTCTCATGTGCTTGTAACCCGGTTTCTTTCCAAGCCATATCTCTTCTGGCACTTTGAAACCCACAGCAGACGCTGGTGACCTGTTGATCGTGTAGACTGCGAACGCAGCAGCCTCTGACCAGAAATCTTCACTGAGTCCAGACTCATTTAAGATACATCTAACCTTCTCCATGATTGTACGATTCATCCTTTCGGCCACACCGTTTTGCTGTGGCGTATAAGCACAAGTCCTGTGTCTCTTAATGCCATACTTCCTGCAAAACTCATCAAACATGTGGTTGCAAAATTCTAGACCGTTATCGGTCCTAAGGCATTTCACTTTTCTATCAACCTGGTTCTCAACAAGTGTTTTCCAATCTTTAAAACTATTGAACGTCTCATCTTTAGTTCTAAGGAAACATATCCAAACCTTTCTCGAATGATCATCTATGATAGACAAGAAATACCTGTTACCGGATAATGATGGATGCACATTTTGTGAGCCCCAAAGATCTGCATGAACATACTCTAAAACATTGTTAGTATTGTGCTTACCAGTACCAAAACTTACCCTTTTGGACTTTCCCATAACGCAGTGTTCACAGAAGAATTCGACTCCTATATCTTTCTTGGCCAGAACTCCATCTTTCACAAGAACTTGTAGATTCTTGTAACTCATGTGACCCAAACGGCTATGCCAAACAGGAACCTTTAAACTAAGACCTTCTGAGTTACACGCCTCAGGGTGAACTGTCTCACCATCCAGAATATACAACCCATTCTTCAAGACTCCTTTCAACGCCAACTTAGCATTCTTCGTGAAGACAATTTGACCACCACCTCCACTATGCTTGAACCCAAGCTTGTCTAACGTCCCTGTGGAGATTAGATTCCTGCGAAGTGATGGAACGTACCTGACGTTCTGCATCAACTTCACAGAACCACCATGAGTATCAACCCTCACTGTTCCAATGCCAAGAGTCTCTATTGTGTGGAAATCTCCAAGAAGAATCTTCGTTGACTGTATCTCTTTGAACTCAGTGAACCAATCTCGACGACATGTCATATGGTGGGTGCATCCTGAGTCGATTACCCAATTATCACTAGCATTGTCTCCAGTAGCCATAAGAGCATCTCCGTCTTCTATTTGACTTATTGCAACAGCAGCTTCACCATCACTATCTTGCTCCATTCTTTTCTTTCGAGCAAAACAATCTGCTTTAACATGACCTTCCTTCTTGCAATACCAGCATGTAACTTTCCTTCCTTGAGACTTACTACGACCTCGGTTACTTCTTGAGTCATGATGTTCACGCTTACTCTGTCTGCCTCTTTCTGAAGAATAAAGAACTGTAGCCGTTCCCTTTTCACTCTTCCCACTGTCTTGAATCTCACGTTGCTTAGACCTTGCAGCTGAGATAAATTCCTCCAATGTGAGTGAGTCTTTTCCGTACTTGAGCGTATGCTTAAGCTGATCATACACAGGAGGCAACGAGCTCAAGAAGACAATAGCTTGTATCTCATCAGTGACATTGACATTCAAGCTTCGCATCTCTGCAACAATCTTAAGAAAATCATCTACGTTTATATCAATAGACTTAGAGCTATCACATTTAAACGTATAGAAACAAGATTGAACAAAGATTCTATTAGGTAAAGATTTGGATAGATACAACCTTTCCAGCGATGACCACATCGAAGCTGCAGTTGTACAGTGTTTGATCTTGCGAAGTACTTGATTGCCTATGTTGAGGATGATCATATCTTTCGCCTTTTCATCCTTCTCCAACTTTACCGGATCAAGAACCTTCTTAACCTCCACCGATCCTCCCGATTCATCCTCATCTACCTGCTTGCCTTCTTCTTGAGTCGCTGATCCTTCGATCTCGAAGTTATCACTGAGAACGACCTCCTTTAATCCCGATACACCGAAGTGAGCCATCATCCGAATCGTCCATAACGAGAAGTCACCGGTTCCGTCGAATAGCTCCACCTCTGCTCGTATCTTCTTCGTCTTCATCATCGGACCTCAGATCTGGAGAACCTGAGGCTCTGATACCAATTGTTGCGCGGAAACTACCGATTCGAGATGAATCAGTCACTCTAATGATACGACTTGATCAATAGAACCTGTAAGCTAATCGTAATACAGCAAGAACACACAAGAAAGATACACAGGCAACTTGATAACCCAGGGGTATCACTCCGATGTGGAGTACTAGTCCCCTGGAGCCAGACTCAGTCTAGCAAATCCACTAGAACNGAACCTGTAAGCTAATCGTAATACAGCAAGAACACACAAGAAAGATACACAGGCAACTTGATAACCCAGGGGTATCACTCCGATGTGGAGTACTAGTCCCCTGGAGCCAGACTCAGTCTAGCAAATCCACTAGAACAAGGCACCGTTCACACGCCGGAGACGGTGAAGAACAACGCCGGAAAGTTTCTGTTACAGATCTATCTCTCTCACTTTCTCGATTAAGTTCTAACTTAACAAACTCTAACTCTATCTCCTTTTATATCATAAGGAGTTACAAAGCCTTAACCAGAATTCATTAAGTCAAACCGTAACCAATAACCGGTATGAGTTAATAACCTAACTACCCGATTAAACCAACTTATATATCTAACATATAAGCTATAAGAGCAAGATTAGATCACTCACCAACATCAAAGGAAGCATCAAAGCGGTTAGAGCTAAGTCAATATAACGTATTGACGGAGGAGATAGAGCTCAAAAGTACCTAGGTTTGGCATTGAGAAATCGTCGGAGAAGCTGCCGGAGGATGATGAATGATCTGGAATTAGGTTGCGTTCTTCACCATTGGGAAAGCAAGCATGAGGGAGAGTCGCGAACTCTCTCAAGCTCATAAGCCCAAGGTGGAGTCATTGCTATGGAGGTTGGCACCAAAGGCAAATTCGTCAGGGTTGCATGCTTAAATCAGAGAATCATCGGGGACATCGGAAATTGTTATCACTAGCCAAAATCTCATCAGAGAAGTCATTGAAAAGCTTTTAATTCGATCTGTTAAGGAGGAGAGAGAGAGAGAGTCATTAATCTCTCTGAGCTAGAAGTTCTAAAAGCTTTCCCAGCCGGAGCTAAGGAAGATGGACACCGGATCTCAGGTCAGTCCATTTGTTAAAGCTTGTGGAGGTTGCTGTCACTATCGGTGAGGAAGACGCAACATCGTAGTCATATCGTGTCACGAAGAAGAAGACAAGCAAGAGACAGAAGGTTGAGTATTTGGGCCTAAGGTGGAGATTATTGGAAATAGGCCCAAATACAATAAAGCCCAAGACAAAATATAGATCCAGCAAAATCCTTGTGCTCTATACCTTTCCTGCAAGAAAGGTAAAGTAGGTTAAACCCTATTGGAAAAGGAAAATATGAAAGACCTAATGAAACTAGGAATGGGAAGATCGGTTGACTATAAAAAGAAGAGGTGGTATCAGCTATTCGATTATCCGAAACACAAGACCAAAAGGAAGAGAGCTAGAGAGAGATTAGGGTTAGAGGAAACTAGAGGCAAGAGACATTGTTCGAGTCATGTCGCTTCGGGATAGAGTTTCTTTGATCTATCTTATTCTTTGTTGTGTCTTCTTATTAAGCGCTTAGAGCGTTTGTGTAAACCCTTTGATTGATAGTGGATGTTGTGGGAGACGGTTCCCACCCGAGACGTACCGCGCTAGAGGCCGGGAACTCGGTGATCAAATTCTCTGTGTTATAGAATTAAGCAATCTAAACGATCGAGAATTCCTAACAGCTACTGCTGACGTAGAGCTTTCTTCTTTAGAGTATCTAGAGAACATTGACTCAGATATGGCCTTAAAGTTCTTGCCAGAGCTTCAAGTGGATAAGGATGGTTATTCCCCTTTTGCCTTGCAGGTATAGAAACCATTTATGATTCGTGTAAGGGGGATGGTTGCATGCATCCTTATATAACGTTTGAACGTAGATGCATAGAAATAGCTAGAACTATAACTTATATTGGGTATATTATGATATTGTTTAATTAGAAATATAATGTACTTTATTAGGTTGAATTTTCGTAAGAGTAAGTGGATTTGTATTTTGAAACTCTGCCATATTAGTAAATACCTAAAATGTGAGAATGAAAACACCTTTAGTGGATACCAATGATGATGACAGGTGACCAACTTTGAATGTGGAGGATTCATCTTAGGGATGGCTATGTCGCATGCAATGTGCGATGGATATGGAGAGGGACATATCATGTGTGCCTTGACGGAGTTGGCCGGCGGAAAGAAGAAGCCGACGGTGACGCCGGTTTGGGAAAGAGAGAGACTTGTGGGGAGGTCTGAAGAAAACAATCGAGCTCCCTTTGTTCCTGGAGGCGACACAGCTGCTTCACCCTATCTACCTGCTGATGATTGGGTATGTATACAGAACAAAGATCACTTAGTTTGAAAATATCATAAGATTTGGAAAAGAAACTACACATAGAGTGGTAATAAAAGAACTTGAAATTCCCCCAAGTAAATTAATGTTTACAATTGATTTCGGACCATTTCATACGAGTTTATGACATAAATAGGAAAAACATTATGTGGTATTATTGGAGTATTTTAAGTTGTAATATATTTCGATTATTGACTAGCGGTTAGATAAGTAGCAAGGTGTCATAGCTACCAAGGTTCAACTTTACTCAGAATGGAGGGTTGGTCACTAATGATATTTAACCATTTTTATATGTTAAGATTTTCATTTAAGAGTATTTCAAAATATCTCAAATAAAATATATTGATGACTATTTTAACATATACTCATTTTATTAAATTCTAGTTTTTTTTCTTTCAGTTCCAAACTTTGAAATTAAAAAGTATATGAATATATTAATACTACATATCTATTAGAATTGTGATGTTGTGGTAAAAGAAATCTCTTAAGTAATTTTTCCTGGAAATTTATTACTATGACTTAGAGCATGATTAACGCAAAAATCCATTTAAAATTCTTCTTATTATTATTATTATTATTATTATTATTATTATTATTATTATTATTATTATTATTATTATTATTATTATTATTATTATTATTATTATTATTATTATTATTATATTTTCGTCTGAATAATTTTTTCAAAAAAAAAAAAAACAATCACATACCACCACATGTTAGTGGGATCTGCGAACAATGCAAAATTTAATTTTTATTTCAAAATTTTTGTAACCGATTTTTGGGCATTTTGGTCGGGCTTACCCCCTACTTCTTGGTAAGAATCCCCAAAAAATACCCCGATAATCATGTTCTTACTGACAGAAACAATCACCAAAAGTTGTTTTTACTTAAGTATTCTCTTTTCTATTTTAAAAACAATATTTCTAACTTTACCATTTTTGATATATGTAATCAGGTAACTGACAAGATAAATGTTAGAGTTGAGTCCATAAGAAGATTAAAAGAAGCTACACTGAAAGAGTGTGACTTCTCTAATGAAACAGTAACTACTTTCGAAGTCATAGGAGCTTATTTGTGGAAGTCAAGAGTTAAAGCTCTGAGTTTGGACCGAGATGGAGTCACAGTTTTGGGTTTTTCTGTAGGAATCCGAAATGTAGCAAATCCACCTTTGCCCGATGGATACTACGGCAATGCGTACATAGACATGTACGTCCCATTAACCGTTAAAGAAGTGGAAGAACATACCATCTCAGACATCGTGAAGTTTATAAAAGAAGCAAAGAGAAAGGCTCGCGACAAAGATTATCTCAAAGAAGAGCTTGCAAACACTGAAAGTATCATTGATTTGAACTTAACGATCACAGGTAGAAAAGATGGGTTCTTTTGTTTGACGGATTGGAGGAACATTGGTATTTTTGGATCTATGGATTTCGGGTGGGGTGAGCCGGTGAATATTGTCCCGGTTGTCCCACCAGAGACAGCTAGAATGGTTAATATGTTCATGCCAGCGTCAAGAGTAGAACCTTCAATGGTCGGAGAGCTTCAAGTCATGGTGACATTGCCAAGAGCTTCAATGGTTAAGTTTAAAAAAGAGATGAATGCTCTAAACTAAAACTTCTTTCTTTCTTTTATGTGGGACTCAATAAATTAACATGAATAAATTTTAATAAGAAGAGTACATTTAATGTTGCTGAGAACAGTGTTAGATGATTACTTTTGTTTTATATATAAGCCGATGTTTTACGTGAGTGTTGGTAAAAAAAGTTGACGTTTCAGATATTAATAGAAAAAATTTATGATAAACATTAACATGTATATAAAATGAGAAAATATTAATTATGGTAAATTTTAAGTTCTAGAGTTATCAAGCTGAATATACAAAAGAAATGATGATAATTAGGTAAATGACAATATATTTACAACTAATGGTGTTCCCGTACTTCGCACTTATTGTTTAAAATTTTTTTTATTGATTTTTTTTTATTTTGATTTATTTGTTTTAAAAACCGTAATGCCCGTAATAGTTTTGCTCGAGAATGCTTTGGCTAGGGATATGTCTGAACTGGGCATGTGAAGCTATCGGTACTAAATGAATCATCATCTTTGGTGTGCGCAGTTGATGCTGATAATTTTATATATTAAAACAGAAATTATGGCTTTAATTCATATGTGATTTTTTTTAAATTTGAATATATTCTTAGAAAATATCAAATTTTACATAAATTATTTATTATATATTTAATATCTTTATATTTTTAGAGGTCCATTTTTTTATTTGAAATAAAAATGAATATATTTAAAATGTTCTTAAAAATCATTTAAAAGTCTTTTTAGAATTTTTTTAAAATTTACTTTAAAAAATTAGTTAATTTTACTTTAAATTATCATAAAATATGATTATAAAATTAAAATTGAATTTAATTTTGGTTTATAAACGATTATTAAAAATTAAATATTTTTTAATCATATTCACTCATAATAAAAAATGAAATTGATTAATTTCAAAATACATTTTACTAATAATTTTAAAATATTTGTTACAAATAAATAATTATTTAATTTTAATTGTTTTAAATATATATATTCTATTAAAATAAAATTCATGATTTCTTTTATGTGTGTTATTTTTATTTAGACCATTATTTTTTTATTAAATATATATCCTTAATGCTAATAATATAAAAATATTTTATTTTAATAAAAATATCTTTTGATATTTTAATTTATATATATACATATATATATGTACATATATATATAAATTCTAAAAAATCTGTTGAAAAAGATTATAACAAGATCTTAATTGTCAAAAATTGAACATATATATTTTTACTAATTTCATAATTAGTCGTGAAATGTTATTATACACACACACACACACACACATATATATATATATATATATATATATATATATATATATATATATATATTCAGATATATTTTATAAAATGAAAAGAATAAAAATATGTCATATTTTATCTATTTTCTAATAATATATATCATCTTAAAAGACAACCATTATATTGAACTAAATATGATAATGTTTTTTTTGAAATTGATAAGTTAACATATTTATATTAATAAATAAAAAATAGTTATTCTAAAAATATAATATGTTCGTAGAATGGGTTAACATTCGTAAACTATATAATTCATGCATGTATAAAAGTTAATTTATCTAAACTTTTATATACAGTAATTTATTACATAGAATTAATAAATATAAAGTTGCTAATCTAGCGTATTTAGTGGGATATTACGAGATTAATTATGAGGTTTTTTAAAGTAACTTGGTAGAGGTTTTAATTCTATAAAAGTCAGTATGGTTTTCCAATAACGCTCTAATGTTTACTTGTGATCCACAAAGCAAAATGATTTATTAGTATGTTTTTGGGAGTTATTAGTTGAATCATTGACTTCTTATAAAATAAATCAAGTTTTTAGGCTTTATTAGCTCGACTGATTTTTCATATTACGTGCAATAGTAGGTAAAGTTATAAGTGAATGCAAAATTAATGGGAAAAACATAAGCAATAGGAATTTATGTGAACAATATTATCTTCAATCACAGGTAGTCAAGAAAATTCTTCATCTGCTTGTAATAAAAGCACCGCTTGCAACAATTGTCCATGTCATTGATGTGGCACCTACTGAGAAGACCAAAGCGATACACACTTAATCGAAGTCGTTAAATTTCAGACGCATCAATGATCAAACATTGAACTTAAAACTCAACTCGGAGCAGTGAAGATGCTTTATTTACATCAAAAATGCTTGAAGAGAATTAATCTACCTGACACTTGAGTTGAAGCTCTTGGTTCCTTAGCCGTGGCGAACGATCCAGCCATAGTGGTAGCCTGAGATGTCTCCCATCTATATGAATCTGATCAAGAGCATCACTGAGCTCGTGGTCAAAGTTAGATGAATCTGATTTAATATTATTATATCTATTATGAAGTATATGCAACCTCTGTAGAGCAGTATAATTAGTTACCCAATAGCCTTCTCAAGCAATGGGTCATCTTCATCAATTATATGATATAAACACAATTCTACAGGGAACTCTCACTTATCACTGCAAAATACAACTTTTCATTTGTGGCTTCAAAAGCAGTACAACTTCCGTATTGTGCTACACGATAAGGGGAGATAAAGCCTTGTAATCACAGTTATGGAAATGCAATTAGTCAGGGGTTTTGAGTTGTTAAATATAGGAGTAATAAATCGAATCATTATTTGATTGTCGATGAATAACATCTCTACATCAATCCGGAGAGGTTCTCATAAAAGGATGAGCATGGAGATGATCTTGGCCTTTTCCAAAACAGGAGGAAATTCGTGGAAGACGTGACGAAGGGTTATGTCGCCGTTGATTTTGATGTCTTGTTAGCCATGGGTCCGATAGATTTTTCACACTTTGAGCCTCCAAGAGTCTCAACAAACGGACCTTGTCTGTGTTTGAACAGCAGCCAGGTTTTAGATGGGCAAGGAGCTTGGTTATTAGAAGAGATCATTCTTCTTTTCGTAGTGCTGTTCATTGCTAGGACCTTGCAGATTTATAGGAGAGCTTCCACTGGTTACTTTGGAAGATGGAGAGCTCGATTAATAGCTCGAGAGTGAGATAAACTATAACAACTCAAAACCAGATCTAAAAATTTTGGGCAGACTAATGGGTTTCTTTACGGCCCACTTATCCAAAAACTTAGGGTGGCCTACAATTCATTATAAAAAGGACTGCAATCCACTTCTTTTGTCTCTTCCTAAGATCTACTAGAACTCATTCAATTGCATTCTTTACTTCATTCTCCTTTAGCTATGCTATCCGTCCATCTCCATTTCTTTCTACTCTTTTATAAACCTCTTTGTCCATGACACCAGAATGACCATCTCCCTTCCCTTCCCTCATCATAACCTTCTTCTTCTTAATCTTCTACTCTTTCTCCCACATCTGATTGTTCATGACGATCTTAAAACAGTAACAATCGTCCAATCACAACCAACTGATAACCGTTAGCTTCTTTCCATCTCCTTGAAGCAAAAGAAGAATGGTTGATTTAAGGGATCCATCAAAAGCTTATTAAGTATCGACCAAGCAAGGGTGAGGATATGAGAGATTAGCATACATGGTTGCCTAATTATGAGTTGAACCAAGAAGACAACAACAAAAAAGTTCACATACAGGGCTGCTTACTCTTTTTTGTTGACAACAACAAATAATAATAATAATAATTTTAGTTGGTTGTAAGTTTTTTTAGGTAAAATGTTTTGGGTGTAAGTTGTATACATCAATTTGTTGAATTTTTCTGAATTATATAATATTACGTACACAATTATTTGAGCATTGTATAAACGCTTCATGTTAACTTCAAAACAGTTGTTGCATAAATTTCAGTATGTGTGTGTGACATCCTAGAAGGCACCGACGTCCTTCACACTAACTGTATTTCAATAGTCTCTCTCTAAAATCTCTGTTAGTGCTAACTGTATTTATAAGAAGATATAAGATTTGCTGGTTTACTTCTATGTGTGGTCAACTCTATTGATGTTTGTCTTGTGTTGTGGAGGTTTACAGGTGATACAATAAAAGTAGTTGATTGCATTTCTTGTGTTCACAATTGCTACATGGTTTTTCATTGAGCTCACCACTCAAAGCCCTACACAAGAAACTTTGTACATGGTCTCTTTGTTCCTCATGTCAAAATAAATTGAAGCGAAGCCCTGCAGAGAATCCCGGAGACACGAAAATCCTAGCCATCAAGGTTCTCCTTCTCTCTCTCGCGATCTCTCTCTTCTCTCTCTCTCCTCTGTGTGGCTTCTTCTTCCTCTCTCTCTCCTCGCCGTGCGCATAATGGTGGTGGTGGTGGCCACTAGAGATCGTCGGTGGTGGTGGTGGTACCGTGTGGTGTGGAGGTGACCAGATCTCGTTCCCTCTTATCTTTTGTTCTCAGATCTAGATCTCCAGATCTCGTTTTCACAGATCCCGATCTCCAGATCTCAGATCTATTGCTAAGGTGAGGTGATCCGAACCCGATCTGTTCTCTTAATCCTCTATTCTGGTTAATGTTGGAACTAAAGTTCGGATAGTCTGTATTTGGAAGTTAGGTTGATAGATCATAATGGATGTTAGGTTGATAGATGAATGAATCATGATGCATAAGAACCTGCATACTGTTTAAATGAGACTTAATGGACTGCCTTGTGTTGATGTGGTTAATGATTGATGAGGAATGATTGTGTGACTGATTTGTGTCCCATGTGATGATTGTGGATGAAAGCTAGGTTGCTAGAAAGAAGTGAATGCTTAAGATGATAGATATGTCAATTGGTATCAGTTGTTATTAATGATGAATGTAAAGTAATCATCCATTGGTATCTAAAGTGAAAGATAGATCTATATAAATGAGATGTCTTTTGGCTTCAGTGTTTAGGAATGTGAATGTTATGTGTGATGATGGGACACCGATAACGGGTGGCATCTAGAGTTGAGTAAGAGTCTAAGTGTATGCGAATGAGTTAAAGAGAATGAGAAAGAGAAAGTGAATGAGAATAAGAATGTGAAAGACGATGAGAATGAGAAAGTGGTCGTGTCAATGAACTTGTTTGAAGTCT